TGGGGCATTGGGGTTTTCGGGCTTGAGGGGTTGAGGGGTTGAGGGTTGGGGGTCTAGGGTTTCCCCCCAGCACAATTACAGCTCCAAAGCTAGGACTGTTGGTTTGGTTTCTGAAGGGTTCCCTGGACCCTAAACACTAAACCCCAAACCCTAAACCCTAAACCCTAAACCCTAAACCCTAAACCCTAAACCCTAAACCCTAAACCCTAAACCCTAAACCTCTCTGATGAGGTCGTGGCCAAGCCCCGGACGTATTTGCCAACCGCACGCCGCTGCGAAAGCAGCGTGCCCACACCGATTTTGATCCTGGCCTTGAGGGAGGAGTGGGGCTTTTAGGGTTTAGGAATTATAGGCTTTGGGTATGAATGGGAGTTGGTGTTGTGTGTTTGTGTATGTATGTGCAGCTCTTTTGATAAAGTCGGATCACGGGATCATGGGATTCCTGGGTGTCTGTGCTGAGGACTCAATCTCTGAAGCCCTACCCTGGGTTGTGCCCAGCACAGCAGGACGAGGAGTTTCGTTTGGTAGTTCGGGATAAACCTCCCCAATCCCTAAACCCAAGCCCGAAGGCTCGGAGGTGGCGAACTTTACTCGGGCTTAGGCGCTCAGAGTTAACAATGCTGTTGAAATTCATGTGGTACTTAGACTCAGAAGCAGCTCCAGAGATCAACTCCTCCATTTTTCTCCCCCCCCCCCCCCCCCCACGTACACCAGTAACAAGGACCCAGAGTATGCCCTCATTCCCTTCTTTTAGGCTTTGGGTCCCCTTATAAGCCCCTTTAAGCCAAAAAAACGAGCACCTTTTTTTATTCCTGGGTTACCCTTGGGTCTAGGTAGGTGCTGGCTCGCTAAGGAGCTGCTTGGCACCTTTCTGGCCCCTGCCAGCATCTTGGCGGCCCAGTGGTACCCTTTGCCTGTTTTTTTTTTGGGGTTCTCTAGGTAGGCCCTTGGGATATTTCATATTTCCCTAATTGGGTTTAAGAGGATCATATTTAGGAACATATTTTTCAGAGGGTTTCAAGGGCCATCCTGTTTCTGGGTTTCCTTGGTATAAAGCAACCAACCCCAACAGGGAGGGGGTGCCCTTACGAGGATTTGGTTACTGGGCTGCCAAGGTGTCAGCGCTCAGTCGGCTGGCGAAGTCTACTCGTTGGTCCAGGCCGTGCTTGCGGGTTCATTCGGTACTCATAACCGAACCCAACTTGCATGTGCCATGTTGTACTAAAACGGGTTTTCATCGTGATGTTGTTGCTGTTACATGTCAATCTTGACCTTGATCCTCTTGTAGATCTCAGTATGCGTATTCGACTGACTAGTTTCTTGCAACATTGACCCTAGCACGAGAATGATATAGGTTGACAATAAAGGCACTGCGCGGCCGCCCGTGGTTTCTGAAAATCTGACTCCAGCCATAGGAGGCTTGTTTACGCTTCAGGCTATGTTGGGGCTTAGGATGCAGGCTGTAGGATGCTGGGTTTGGGGTTTACGGTTTAGGGTTGAGTTCGCTGTTTAGGATGCAGGGGTTGAGAGTTGAGAGGTTTAGGTTAGCGTGTGAGTTTGGGGTTTAAGTCAGTTGGATCTCACAGAGTTTGTGTTTCGGTTTTTGCTTGGGAGGGGGTGGGGGAGATGGGGGGGGGTCATGGATTTCTTTGAACTACTCCATGCAAAATCAACCAAAAACTTATCTTCCCAGCTTGTCTGGAATCCCGGCGGAGGAGTTTCCGGTCTAAGGGGACGGGCGCGAGTGCAGCTGCTTCGGGTTTAAGGTGTTGCGGGTGCCTCGTCATCCTTCAAGCAGGCCCTCAATTAAACCTGACGACCCCCCGCCCACCCCAAACTCCGATTCCTAAACCTAGCGGCTGCAGCCCCCCCCCCCCCCCCCCCAAGAAAAAAAAACTAGATAAACAAAACAAAAATTAGTAACAACAAGTAAATACAACAGCACGCCCACACAAACAAACAGGACCATAGAAGCTCTAACCCCAAAGCCCAAGACCAAAGACCAAGGCTGTCAAAAGCCACCGGTTTCAAGGCTGCGGTCCTTAAAGCCACAGAGCGCCCTCTGCAGGCAAAGCCAAAGACTGGGAGGAAGCATCAAATTCGAGTCAAAGCTGCAAAGAGCGAATCTCCACAGGAGTTCGGGGGCTTACAGTAGGATTTAGGGGTTTATCGGCTTTTGGGGTCGCGCAACCAAACCCCACTGGAGGTGCAGGCCCGTTTTGGTAACAAACTGGGACATGCCAGCACTCCAAGTTCTGTTGAGCAATGGAGAGAACACTTCTGCCACCCGTCAAAGAAGTCAGTTTAGCAATAGTTCGTTCATATGTTCAAATTTACAATGCAGTTCCTGCTTTGACAAGTACGAAATAAATTGACATGATGTTGGCGGTTAGTGGTGGTTGCATGCTTCCGAATTCTAATTATTTAGCATGGCTTGAGAAATATCGTATTGGGTAGGATTCACTTGCTTTTTTTTGTAAAATTGCATGAATAGAGAGAGGCTTATATGCCTGTATGTATATACATATATATATATATACAGATACAATGTATATGTGTGTCTGTGTCTGTAAATCTATACGTGTGTCTACTTAAATATATGTATTTACTTTGCCCAGAGCATCCACTTCCCAAGCCCTCTCTACCCGCCGCACGGGGCATCTGGCTCAGACACATAGGCGCACACGCACGCACACACACACACACAAACACACACACACACACACACACACACACACACCAACAAAAGGGCCATGGGGGGGGGGGGGGGGGGGGGGGGGTGGTTGCACATATATACCTCGATATATATATATATACATATATATATATACATATATATATATGCATATAAATTTACCAACATACATATATATATATACCATTGTTGATCATGTGTACAAACATAACACACATATACATGTTCTGAAGATGTGCACCATGCATGAAGAGTTGCTTGTTCAATCACCTAAACGGAGCCTATGCATAGATCAGCTTATTGGTATGTAGGTAAAGCTGATTTTGACCAGAGAGTCTTGCCAACATTGATCAGCATGTTTGGTGTATGTGCACGAAAGTGCTTTTGAAAGCCGGAGCTCTGAAACCTGGGGTGCAAAGGACGCTAAACCTGAATTTCCGGGAAGAGTCGCCTTTCCCAAGGCCTAAACCCTGACCCTTAAAGACTAACCCCTAAACCCGACGATGAGAGGAAGAAATCTTCTACCCACGCCCAAGCCCGAAGCCCCGAACTCCCAACCGCTGCAGCGACAAAGAAGAAAGGAACCCTAAACCCTAAACGCTGGACCCAAACCCTAAACCCTAAGGCCTGAACCCTAAACCCTAACCCTAAACCTTAAACTTCAAGGAAGGCACCTTGCGGAATTGGGCCTGCTGACGCCCAAGAGATCCACGAGGGTCCATACTCAGGGACAACTCAATGCCCGTCTCTGGGGTTAGGGTTTAGTGTTTAGGGTATAGGGTTTAGGGTTGAGGGGACCAACAAATTCTAATGTTGACTTCACATTAGGACTTCCCGCCGCAATTATAAAATCCAGCTGCCAGAACACAATAATGTAGCCCGCCACAATTATAAAATCCAGCCCGGAATATTCTTCTAAAAGTGATCCCCCAGAAGCTCGCAGTAGAGGCTCACTTAGCCCACTGTGGTGGCACCGGGACAGCTAGACCTACCAGGATTTAGGCGGATATTATTGAGGAGGCCCTGGCCGGAGAGATTGATCAATGAAGGGGGGGGGGGTTTATTAATGCGAAGTCAACATTAACATGGAAAGGAACCCGTATCCAGGACTTGTTTGGCTGGGATCTGCACTTTAAGTTCGAGTCGGCAGAATTGCTCAGTTTCCGGATTTCTACTAACGTTGCCCAGGTTTAGGATTCCTACTAGTTGCCTGAGAACCCCAAAAGAACAATTAATCATGTTCTTCCTGCTAGGGGCAATATATGGATTATTATTTGATATTTGTTGGGGGTTCTTCAGCAAATGGTGGGTTCTGGGTTCAGAGTTTAGAGTAGGCCCGAGGGTTGTCGAGATGCTTTGGGTGTAGGAGTGGTGCTTAGGAGTTCCTGGCGAAGGTTGCGATTCAGGATGCTTGGGACAACGCGGGACTTAGCAGATAGATGAGCGTAAGATGCGTTGGATTGTGGCCTGAGGGTTGTGAGTTTTTGGGGTTTAGGGCTTAGATGGTTTCGGGTTTCGGGCTTAGGGTTGGCATGTGCTGTCTGTGTTCTTGCTACGTGGGGCAGTGGAATGCTTTCGTTTTGGTAACCCTTAAGCCCTCACCCTGAACCTATTGATTTGTTTTTAGGCGGAGGGTGGGGGGGGGGGTGCTTAACAAAAGAGTTGTGCTTTGGGATGTTTCCCCTTCTACCATCAGCCCCTAGTAGGGATTCCAGTACCCCCTGTTGTAATCCCTATGAAAGACTTTTAGTATAAGGGTGAACATCCCAAGTTGTGCTCCTCATTGTCATGGTCTGAGGCCTATCGTTGGGGATGCTCGGTATGGCAGCGCCACGCGCTCAGAGCAGGTCAAGGGAGCAAAGGAGGGACCCTGATAAGGGACCTTAGAGGCTTTTTGGGGGGTGATTTAGGGGCTACTTAGGTATAGGGGAAGAAGATGAAGGGTCCCTTCTAGGGGGTCCCTCCTTATACCCCTTAAGCAAGAGCCGCGACTTTGCTTTGCTTTCATCCAGCCGGTGCTTCACATGCTGCACTCTCCTGCGCCTCAGGGGCTTGTTCGCACCCGTTGCTGGGTCTTGGGTAGGAGAGGGCGGATTGGGTGTAAGGTTTCGGGTTTCGGGTTTCAGGGTCCGCCGGGGCTTTACTTGGGTTTTTGAATATTTAGCCTCTGACAGCTTTCGCCTTTGGCTTGCAGAGCCATTTGGGCGTGTTTCTGTATCTGTTTCTGAGCACTTTGTCACCTGGTTTTTCTTGTCTTTGGCAGCCTCGGCTCGGCAGCTAACACCTGCTCCATCTCCATCACACCATGCTCGCTTGCCAAATCCTGCTTGTAGCGTTCATACCATCCTTGGCCCTTCGTCGTGACATCGACAAGGAGGGGGACCAGGAGCTTCATGCTCATGGCGCGCATCGCGCGTGCTCTCCGGCCGAAACCATTGCCTATAACCACGTGGCGATTCCAAGGCCACAGGAGTTGGCCGATTGGAAGGAGGCTCTGTCCACAGCAGGGCCGCTAGCAAGTCCCATCGGAGAGGGGGACGGCCTCATCATTGATCTCGCGATGAGGATGGCCATGCTGCCCTATGGGCGCATGGTTGAAGGTGTGTCCTTTACCTCGTTCTCGACCTACGCTTCGCGGCCTAGCTTGATCTATGGCACGCTGCATTTCGTCGGTTCGTTATGGGAGTAGTCCCGCTTGCCACAGCACAGCATAAAGCCTAAACCCTAAACCCTAAACCCTAAACCCAAGGCTTGTTGTGAGGGTGAGACAGCAGAGGAAAGGCGATGATACCCCCAGCATGGGAGAGCTACTGGTTCGAGGGAAAGCGGAGCACAAGAAGACAAGAGGCGCAAAAGCTACGTGGAATAAGGACGACAGCCCCTATGCCGCAGTCTACATCATCAGGCTCTCGGATGGCGGGGTGGGCTTGGTTTTCAGCTTCAAAGGATCGACAAATCTCAAGGACTGGGCCAGGAATTTAGACTTCCTGGGTACACACTTTGAGGGATCGAATAATTCCCACGTGAAGGTGCATCGTGGTTTCCAGGCGCATGCGAACAGCATCTGGACCTCGTTGAAGGATGCTGTCACGGACCTCGCCGTTCACCGGCTGCTTATTGACACCTGGAACATCCAGGATGCTTACGCCAACGAGTTCACGGACTACGTCACGCACGGCACATGGAGCTGGTGCATCTGCGTTGGGCACAGCCTTGGCGGGGCAATGGCAGACATTTTCGCGGAAAATATCGTCACACGTTACAAGGGTCGCAACAGGGGTCCAGTCTATGCCGTGACGATCGATGCTCCCATCCCTGGAAACAAGGCCTTCAATCTTGACATGGCTCAGAACATTCTTCCACACGGCGGGCTTCGTATCGAGAATCCTGGCGATCCTGTGCCCTGGACAGGGTATGGTGGCATCACGCTCAGGAAACGCCAAGTTCACGGAATGCAGTGGAGGCTGCCAAAGCCATCAGCAAAATTCAGTCTTTATGATACCCACACACTATTCCCCATAGAGGCGCAGTCGGAGAGTGGCAACAAGACGTGCCGGCTGTATACCTTCCAGGACTATGATCCTGACACCGACCCGCAAGACACCTGGTTACAAAACTACCACAAGATGGCGTGGGTCTACGGAGCTGAGACAGCATCGTTCGTTCGGGCGGATTGAGCCCGACCTCACTCGGAACCTTGCCGAGACGAGGAGACCAAGTGAACACGCTCCGGCTCGGGCAGTTAACAGAGAGCGCGCCAGTGCTGACCTGTCACAAGCGCAATCTAAATCGCAGAGTTTATTTCCCTGACCCCTAAACCCCGAAACCCCTAAACTTTCCCTAAACCCCTAAACACCTAAACCCTGAACCCTAAACCCTTCGATCTCGAATGCCCAGGGACATCTGGCCTGGTGCGCGCGGCTGTTCCTCCATTGCCGGCAGGTTTCCATGAGGGACCAGAGGGGAGGTCCGAGCCCCGAAGACTTGGGGTTTAGGGAGGGCCTAGAGTTTAGGGTTTAGGGTTTGGGGTTTAGGGTTTTGGCGTTTAGGGTTTGGGGTTTAGGGTTTGGGGTTTAGGGGTTAAGTTTCTGGGTTTTCGGGATGTGAGGGGCGGCCCTGGGGCGACTGGGCAGTGGGAACCCGAATTCATCAAAGTTGAACGCGAACCGGAAGGTAGTAAGCATCGCAAAATCAGGCACTGGAAGATTCGGGAAGTTCTCTAAAGTAGGGCCCCATTTGGGTTTCCTATAGAAGAAGGCACCCTTATCATGAGGTCCCTACAAGGGACCCTAATTTACAGAACTGCCCAGATGCAAGCTGAGACCAAGTAGCCCCTAAACTCCTAACACCCAAACCCTAAACCCTGAAGATGGAGATCCCCGCATTCCGAAACCCTAAGCCCCAAGCCCTAAACCCTGAACCAGACCCTGAACCCCAAACCCTAAACCCTAAACCCTACGATCCGAACTGTGATTCGCCCTAGGCTTGTGGGTACTCTAGACTGTGGTGCCCTATCTCGGATGTAGGGTTGAGGGTTCAGGGTTCAGGGTTTAGGGTCAGGCCTCGTATGGTAAAGAGGAGGGTATTGCAGCAGAAGACCCGAATTTCACGAAGGAAGATTCCAGGGATATCGGAGTCTTTGCGCAGTTCCGTGTCTTCAGGGACCCCAGTTGTGGGTTTATAGGGTTCCGGGTCGAATCACAGGACTCTTACTCGACTTCTAAAAGGTTCACCGGAGTTTTAGCAGACTGCTTAAAATTGTAGGTCAGACTCTTGCTGCAAGTCGGCCAGACGGACTTGTACAGTACGGGTTGACCCAAGTATATACTCCCTGATACTTGCTTGTCTGAAGTCCGAACTCCGAAAAAAGTTGGTATTTCCCGAGATGGGGTTACCCCTTTTATACCCCAAATAGAAAAGATTCTTCTTACAGGGACCTTGAAAAAGGGTACCCCTATTTTCGGAAACCCCCAACTAGGTACCCGAGGGAGCATGACACCCCAACATGTCGGGCTCAGGGTTTCAGCAGTCATGCCGTGTTGAGCCTAAACCTTCAACCCCAAACCCCTTCAGACCAGTCAGCCCTAAGCCCTAAGCCTGTGTGCTGTGGCAGCTACATGTCTGATGCATGGGAAGGATGAGCGGTATAGTGGAGGAGTTGACTCGGTGACGATGAGGAGCGTCCTGCGCTTCGCCGGACGTGAAACAAGCCTTCCTCACGGCGCCCTTGCTGTCGCGAGGGATCCCTATCATCCTGAGGGCCCTCTTCAGGAGATTCAATATCTGCAAAGAACGGCTCTGGATCGTACATCACGCGCTTTACGGCCTGACCACGTCGCCGAGGTCGTGGTCGGTCCATCGAGACGGCACCCTCAAAGCGACTAAGGTCCAAGTGGAAGGCTGTGAGGCCCACTTCGAGCAGTTCCACAGCGACGAGAATGTCCCTAAGCCCTAAGCCCTAAGCTCTAAGCCCTAAGCCCTAAGCCCTAAGCCCTAAGCCCTAAGCCCTAAGCCCTAAGCCCTAAGCCCTAAGCCTAAGCCCTAATCCCTAAAACCCTAAACCCTAGCCCTAAACCCTAAACCTTAAAACCCTAAACCCTAAACCCTCAACCCCAGAAAGCCCTTCTAGGTCTCTTCCTGGCGACGTCGCCGCTGCCTGCGGAGCTGACGCGGGCTTTGGGGTGGCTTGAGCCCGTTGACGCCTGAACCTTTGGGGTTTATAGGGTTTATAGGCTTTATAGGGCTTATAGGGTTTATGGGGTTTATAGGGTTTACAAGATTTATAGGGTTTATAGGTTTCTTTTTAGGGTTTATAGTGTTTATAGGGTTGTGGCGTTTAAAGGGTTTATGGTGTAAATAGGATTTAGGGTTTAGGGTTGGGAGGTTGGAGTCCAGGATTCATGTCTGTAGGGCTTGAAAGTTCATGTGGGTAGAATAGGGTTTAGGCTTTAGGCTTTAGGCTTTAGGCTTTAGGGTTTAGGGTTTAGGGTTTAGGGTTTAGGGTTTAGGGTTATAGATCGTTTCTTGTGTTTTTTCCTGGGCGTCCTCTGGCCTCCAACAATCGTAGCTCCGCACAGAGGACAGTCGAGGCTAAACCCTAAACCCTAAACCCTAAAGTGTATGTTTAACACCCTTCTTCTTGTCTTAGGATTTCTGGTTCAGCATACCTTCAATCCCTTGCTTCCCTCATGACAAGGGCCCTGAACCTGAAAGTGCACGAGTCGGAGGATCGGGGTGCACCGAGAACGCACAAACCTAAGCCACGAAAGCCTACTAGCCCCCGCAGCCTGCCCTGTTAAGCAGGTACATACACTTAGAGGGCGTACAGTTGGGGCCTCCCCCCCCCGCTTCCTTGACGGCAAAATGATTGCAGGTCTTCTTCCCAGATATGGGGATGCCGAGATTTAGGTACCTCTAAGGGGTTTACATGGGCACCTAATTCCCTGGTTCAATTCTCCACTAAAGAACGAGAGAGCCCCCTGAGCTGAGCCTTATAAGCCCTAAGTGGGAAGTCGGGAATCAGGCCTTGAACCCTAAACCCCAAAAGTCTCCTTAAAACGAAGGCTTCTTAACCCAAGCAGGCCTCCCCTTCGCAGAAGACCCTCCGACCGAGCTGGGTGGCTCCAGAAGCTTGTAATCCTAAACCCTAACCCCCCCAAAAGGGACCATAGAGTTCAGAGATCCGCCCAAAAATAAGCTGGTCTCTTAGGGCTTCGGGGTCTTAGGGACTTAGGCGTTTTTTGGGGTTTAGGGTTTAGGGCTTAGGGTTTGGGATTCTACCTTGGACCCCGAAAGTGTTGCCCTTGGGCTTCGTGGACGCTTTTGAAAGGTACCCTAAGGGAAGATAAGGCCCATCTTAAGACCGCATGAAGGGAATCCTCCTAAACCCTTGTGGCACATCCTTAGGGTTCCAAGTTTGACTTCCTCCATGTTACGGGTGTGAGGGTCCAGGGCTTCAGGGCTTCAGGGCTTAAGGCTTTGTAGGCTTAGGGTTTCAGGATTTAGGGCTTCTGTTTTTGGGGTTACTAAGCTTGGGGAAACACCTGGCCTCCATGTTTGCTAGCGCTGATTTTGCATAACGAAACCCATCATTACCAAAACGGGGAAGCCGGTTTTTAGCACGATTAGCGGGGCTACTCGCTATGGGTTTATATCGCTTCAAAAGCTCTGAAACTCTAAAACCCTAGATCTGAACCCTTCAACCCAAAACCTGAAGCTGTCCGGAGGCCGGGCTTTCGAGATTCAGCGTTCTCGGGCTTAGGCGTTAAGGCTTAAGGTTTAGGATTTATGGGGGTTTCTGTGTGTAGGCATGGATACTGTGTGTGTGCGGCCAATTCTCCAAAGGCCCTCTCCAAATGGTTGACCCCCTTGTGGATCCCTATTGAAATATGGTCCCCCAAACCCTAAACCCTAAACGCTACACCCTAAACCTCCCCAAACTGGACCATAGAGAGCTGACCTATGTAGGGTTCGGGTCTGACCAGGGCAGATCTGCAGTGGGCTGCACATGTGCGCAGAAAAAACAGACCCAGCTGTGGTTGCGCTTGCTTGCACGGCATTTGTATGTCTTTTCGGGTTTAGGGTTTCGGGTTTAGGGTTTAGGGTTTAGGGTTTAGGGTCTATCCCAAACCATAAGCCCAAGATGTCAGCCTACTGTTCCCCCTGTTACTTTTGGCGGTTGGGGGGGGGGGGGGGGGGGGGGGATTGGTGTGCTAAGCTGCAGAACCCCCCCCATCGCCTGAAACCCCTAAAATCCCTGAGCCCATATCACCTCTGAAGCCCCCAAGGGTTTAGGGTTTGGGGTTTAGGGTTTAGGGTTTAGGGTTTAGGGAAGCCCGAAAACACCTGACAAGGGTTCGGCGAGCAGATTTCTGCTGTCGGTTCAAGTCCTAGACTGGAAGCCAAAGTGTCACTTATTAAGGGATTTCAAAACCTCAACGCTCCCTCGCCTTATATGGTCTTCAGCAACCTCCCAGTATACTCGTACCCCTGGTAGACGCCATATATGTACCTGGGACCTCCTCCTGAAGCTGTTCTGCCATCCTCGGCTTTGGTCAGCCCTGGGCCCTTGTAACCCGGGCCCTAGTTTACGGTTTTTCGGAGTTGAGGGTTTTGGGTTTAGGGTTTAGGGTTTAGGATTCTACGTTTTCCTGCAACATCCTGCAAGCCTAAACCTCCCGACTCCGGACCTGAAGTCCTAAAGCCAAAGCCCAAGGCGCCCCCCTAAACCCTAAACCCTAAACCCTAAACCCTAAACCCTAAACCCTAAACCCTAAACCCTAAACCCTAAACCCTAAACCCTAAACCCTAAACCCTAAACCCTAAACCCTAAACCCCAACCAACGAGTTGAAGGTGGCTGCTGGCATGCTGACTGTGGAGGTGCGCTCGGTCTAGGTAAACCCTGAACCAGGATGGGCTATTAGGCCATAGAATCCCCGGAATGAACCCTAAGCTATAAAAAGACCTTTTAAGGGATTAGAGGGTTTAGAGTTTAGGGTTTAGGGTTTAGGGTTTAGGTTTACGGTTTACGGTTTAGGGTCCATCCAGGAACTCTCATCCTCGTTTCAGAGCATGGTGGGGCTGTCTGGGGCCTTGGCCTGGGGTTTGGGTTGGCGCCTGGGATGTCAGCCCTAGAGATATACTTTTTAACTTTTAACCTCTTTGAGCACCTCCCTA